TTATATGAATCTAACAAAAACTCATTTTTTGAAAAATTGTAAAAATGGGCCCTTTTAATTGAAGACACTCCATATGACATATTGATAATAAAAATTAGTGTAAATAAATGCTACATTGATTGATTTGATTGATGAAAAGTAATCAATTGAAGAATAATGGAATCGATTAGATGCAAATTTTTACATGTGATTTTTCTAGCAATCAAGTTAATAATTAACTGGTTTCTTTTTTTAGATTTTCCGTTCCTGGTTTTGCGCGATAACGTCGCCGTTATTTTACGTTATTCTACTATTATCTCACAATTTGATTGGTCGATCGACCAATAAAATCTACAAAATCTTAACCAATCACAATAAAAGTTCGCTATGTTCTGTGCCAGTAATTTTATAAATTGCGAATGGAGGACATATTTTTTCTTCGTTAACTTATCGTATATTTAAAATTAATAAATCATGCATATTGATGTAACTTATCAAATTTGTAGATCGCTGCATACCCATGATTGTAAAATGCGTTTTTTATCAAAGATTCAATATAAATATGTAGTAATTGGAGATTAAGAAATTCATTTGTAATGATTGGCTTGCTGCTACTAGATTGAAAAAACTTCATCTTGTGCAAGTTGGAATGAATGGTTAATAAAAATCATCTAAACTATAAATGACAAAATGTGATCAAAAAAAATTATCGATTTTTTTTATAACAAAATGACTTGCCATATAACAGATGTCATTTATTTTTAAATAACAACGTGCCATCACTAGCTAGTTTTATTAAATTTTAAGTCTGTTAACATAAATTTAATACAAAAAATTTATATTTTATGCATAATGTCTAAAAACTAACATTGAATTATAAATGAGATTAATATTTATGATTATATATTTGAAAACAACGTAATTAGATTAATTCATTTTCAAACAACCATCTGTATCACATCGCATAATTCCACCATGAGAAAATGGACTATTATTAATAGGTACCATAAGAATATTATTACAAGTATTTTCATCCGTACTCATCAAACACCGATTAAGGTTAGGTGTGAAAACCCATTCAAAACAATTAGACTTATTAAAACATGACTTGCAACATTCTTCTGCAGTTGTATTCTCAATAATTTCTACCAGTGGGAAGAAAACATGAATTTGGCCAGAAGTTTTAAATCCAGGACTCCCAGGTTGACAGCAAGGAATCCCAGTCGGAGTTGGTGTTTGATGCTTAGTCTTCGTAGGTTGATGGAGATGAGTAGATTTATGAGTAGTATACTTAGTTCTTGTAGATTTACTTTTTCTGTGTGCGCTAGTATTCCATGTCATGAGACAAAGAAAAAAAATAACACGAATAAACTTAAAACAATACATTATACTTTAGGAAATGTAAAAAGTTGGATTGGAAGAGAAAAAAAAAGTTAGAAGGATGAAATTACTATGATTTCTGATTAAATACTTTTCCAAAGAAAATATAAATAGGATCTAAAAAATTGGATTGTTACACGAGAATCAGACATTGCATATTCGTGTAACATTCGTGCGGATAAGGGTAAATTTTTCACAAAAAATGTATCCCGGGTGAAATTTATCCGAATTTTGCAAAAACTTAAGTTGATTTCCGTCAGCAAAAATTCCATACAGTCGGTGTTTCAGCTGCTTTCATATTTTCCAGTAACCGAATCGACAAATTATCGTGTCAGAATCAATAAGTTATTGATGTTGGCTGATGTCAAAAACTTATCATTTCGGTTATTTTTCAAGTGTCCCAGAATTTTATAATAATGCAGATCTAATAATTTCATACATAGCCCCGATGGTCTCTTTACATAACGGTTCCTATAAAAATGATGCACGGGATTTATTATCAAAGACGGGTACGTGACAGCAAGCGAATATACAGAACTATACGGAATATAACACGTGCTTTGAACATGAAAAAAGCGCGTAATAGCATGCTTTTTTACGTGCTTTCCCGTGCAATTTCCCGTATAGTTACGTATGTAACCGTTTACCATTTCATGCAAATGCCGTGCACATAAGTAAATTTCGTGCAATTACGTGTTCGTCGATTTTGTTTGCATGCGGACTCCGTGCAATTGATCTGAATTTAGTGCTTTGGACGTGCTATATTTCGTTCTAACATGTGTATTCACGTGTAAAAATTTTCTTATAAGGGGTCTCTGCAATATTCGTATATCATGTTTGTAACGTTTATTTCATACTTTATAGCCCGTCGTATGATTAATGCTAGCATCTATATTTAAAAAATGTGTTATTATAAGAGAATTAGGCATTCCATATTTGTATAACATCTCGTGCGCGTAACGGGTAAATTTTGGTTGCATATCAATTTCCCGATGGTCATTCCTCGAAAGGCCATTCAACCGACATCACAAAATTATAATTCAACTAAAAAAATACCCTGTGTGATATAGGTTAGATGGCCTGTCGAAGAAATGACCATCGGCAAGTTGAGCGACATCCGTAATTTTTTCACGAAAAATGTATCCGGTGTCAAAATTTATCTGAATCTTGCAAAAACTTAATTTTGATTTCCATCAATAAAGACTCCCTATAGCCGGTGTTCCAGTTGCTTTCATATGAGTGCCGACAAGGGAAAGCATGTCATCAGGCTTTCAATTATATTTATGTCCAGTTTGTTCTCTGAATACTGTCTAGGGAAAATCTATCATCAATTATATTGTATGACAAGTCATTATAAATATAATTGAAAGTCAGATGCTAGATTTTCTCTAGACGGTACTCAGAAAATAAACTGGACACAAAATATAATTGAAAACCGATAACAGGTTTTCTCTTGATGACACTCATATTTTTTAGTAACCGAATCAATAAGTTATTAATGTAGGTTGATGTCAAAAACTTATCGGTCATTTTTTTCAAGTATTTCAGAATTTATAGAAACAGCTGTAATGCTGATCTATTTCATAAGATAGCAGCCAATATTCGCATAACATGTTTGTAACGTTTATTCCATGCCCTATAGCCCGTCGTATGATGACGGGCTCTAACACTAGTATTATTAAAAAAAATTGTATTGTTACACAGAATCGGACATTGCATATTCGTGTAACATTCGTGCACGTAATGAATGAGTTTTTTCACGATGTGTCCATGCCGAAATGATATTAAGTACGGTATGGGTGAGCAGATCAGTATGGTACAGGCCAAAACTAAAAACCATACTATACTGATCACTATATTCCTAATTCTAACGGTAATATATATAATACTCTATCAGCATGTACGAATTCTAAAACTCGGCCTATAGTATACTGACCTGCTCCTGATATGCAAAACACCTTGCTGAAATTCATCTGAATCTTGCAAAAACTACTTTTGGTTTTGTTAGCAAAGTCAGTGTTTCAGCTGCTTTCATATTTTCCAATAACCGAATCGATAAGTTTTCAAGTCAGAATCAATAAGTTACTGACTTTGGCTAATATCAAAAATTTATCATTTCGGTTATTTTTCAAGTGTATCAGAATTTATAGAAACAAACCTAACAAGTTCATATGTATAAACATGTGTTATGCGTTATTTTTAAATTCTGTCAATTATTAATCGACGTCATTTTTCAATTTCCACCGATTGAAAAATGATTCAGGTTAGTTCTTAATGCTGATAAGACTTGAATACAATAATAAAACTGATTAATCGTATATTAAATGAATACAAACAACCCCTTCTATAGTAACTTTCTCTATAGTCACAAATTAATATACTGTAATTACAAATTTATTTTTATAACTATATAGAAAATCTCTATATTAGTCACACTTCTTTATAATTACAGTTTTTTTATCCAAAAAGCGTGACTATAGAGGGGTTTGACTGTATTATAAATATTCAAAAACATCTAACCTATAATAGAATGGGAATTTCTTTTAAGGAAATTGCTACAAATCATAATTAAGCCACTATCGAAAAATTTTACTCAAGATGGCATGGGTGCGTTTTATTTGTTAAAGCAATTGTATTTGAAATATTTTGCATATGCATATAAAATTTTGACTATACTTCGTTGAACACACATTGGGATGGCAATGGCTGGCTATTTTCGGCTTAACCGGTCGACTAAGCTGAAAATAGCCATCTCTAAACACATATATGAAGCGTATGTTTAATCAAATCGTGTTATAATTACTTTTTTAAAATTATATTGACTACAAAATGACCTATTCCGTTTCCAATTTAAAAATGAAATATGGCAATTAATAATTGAAATAAATTGAAAAATGATGAGAAACATGCATAAATTTGAATATACTAAATGCGTCGTAATAATTTCTTTATTAATTGTAAATTTATACAAATACCGATTGAGAAACGACGTATGTCATTTTCAAATTGAAAAATGACATGCGCCAATTAATAATTGACACGAATTGACAAATGACGCATAACAGATAGGCTCTTTATATAAGATAACGGTCTCTGTAGCATTCGCATAACATGTTTGTAGCGTTTATTCTATACCATATAGCTATATAGCACATCCTATTGTCACGGTTTTTTTTTAGAAAAAAATCGTGACTTGTAGTAATGAGAATGTGTATACTGTAAGGCTGGATTGTGGCGAAGGCTTAGAAGTTCAGAT